AGAATAGAGGAAGACGAAGGGGAGGAGGGAGGAGAGCAGGGTGGGGAGGAGGGAGGAGGGAGGAGAGCAGGGTGGGGAGGAGGGCAGGAGGGAGGAGGGAGGAGAGCAGGAGGGAGGAGGGAGGAGAGCAGGGTGGGGAGGAGGGGGCTGCCACACAGGGGCGGCTGGAGGAGAGGAGGCAGAGTCGGGAAGCTCAGGTCTGAGGGCAGCACAGATCTGCCTGGGCGTCCGGAGGAGGCTGGGGAGCAGGGAGCCCATGGGGAACATGGTTAGAGGAGGTCTGGGAAGGTTCCCTTCCAGTCTTGCAAATGCAAAAGGACAAGGTGACTGTCTGGGGGTGTGGCCCTGGGGTGCCACACATTCCTGTGCCTGGAGACCACTGGACTCTAGGTGGTTGTGTTTGTGAAAGAGAGCCACCCGCGTCTCCACCACGTGAATGGGTCTTCCAGTCATCTAAGTCATGACGACGGGGCCTTCCTGGTTCAGAGTCTGAAACCTCGGAATTCTCAAAGTCCTGGGGATGGAGGGTGGGGTGAGAGGGTGGGAAGAAGGTCCAGTGGAAGGGTGCAAAAGGATGTAGGATTTCATCTTTCCCGTGTCTCCTCTTGTCTCTTCTGATTCAAACAGTGGCTTAATGTCAAGTCCATTATAAAACATAAAGCATTAATAGATCTGCACTTTTTTTTTCCATTTTACTTTTCTGGAAAGATCTATTTTAAGGAAGACTTGAGAAACTTCCAAGTCCAGAAGAACCTCGTCATGCCTTAATCCACCCAGCAGGTGCAGTTAAGCAGCTGCGGAGAGACAGAGAGAGTTTCCACAGTGCCCGGCCAGCCAGGCCCGCTGGGGTCCAGTGGAGCACATTCCAGGGACCATCGCTGAGTCTTTTTCCAGCCCCTCCTGGCTCTTTATTCTCTCTGTGGAGCATGCAATCACTCACTTCTAACTTTGTCAGGAGTCCGTTAGGGACTTCCAGGGAGACTGATCCGAACCACCTTCACCTTGTCTGGTATTTATCCACTGTGACCAGCTGAATGGTGGGTGGCCCCCCACCCCGGGGCATGTTCGTGACCTGACACCTCGCGCCTGTGACCATGTTCCCTGACATAACAAAAGTTCCTCGGCAGGTGCAGTTCATGAGGGATTTGAGATGGAAGGATTCCTTTGGATTATCCGAGGGAGACTGAGGGAGCACCCGGGTCCTTGTAAGCAGGAGGCAGAGGAGTTGAAGC